TGTGATATTTGGTTTATTTCTTAAAAAGTTTCATTTTTTATTCAAATTTATGGTTGGAGAGTTTAAGGTTTGTAATTTAATCATTTCTTTCTCTTTTATTTTGCTTGGATGAGGAATGTCAATGTGATATTTTTTATAATAAAAAAAGAAGCTATAATTATCTTGTTGGAAAAGGCAGATAAATAGTGAAGAATGCATTTTAAAGGAAATGGGCAAATACAGATTAAATAGAATTTAAATAGACAAAGTTAAAAACTCGAATATCAAAAAGGAAGGCGAAGCGTCGTCAAGTTGATCCATTCATCCAAAAAAAAGGATCACATTGTAAAAATTCTAAATCAATTAAATATTTACTCGTCAAAGATTATCACAGTGAATTAAAATTTTAATTTTAATTTAGCAAATATTGTAAACATCATTCATAATACTTCGAGTTTTATTTATGCCATAAAAAAAATTCATCAGTCTGTTTTTAACAAAAGGCAATGGAATGTTTATTTAAAATTCATTTTTAAAAAAATCTCAACTCTTTTGTGCAATAACAAATTTTTGTAGGCATACTTAATTCAATCAGGAAAGAATAAAACTCAAACTCCTCAACCACAATCGCTATTATTTCTGCTTTTGGATACAATGACCGTCGATATTACAATCACAAATAATGTTATAATGGATAATCAACAACTAAATGCGACAAAGTGAGCATCTCATTTAATTTTATAAGAAAAATCAAAGAACTCCATAATTTTGCGCTCATTATTATTAATTTTAATAAACACGTGAAGTGATTATTTCAGAAAGCATTAATTTTAGTATATATCAATGAAAAATAAAGTAGAAAATGAATTGAATAAATTATGTATATAATAATCCGACTGAAATGATTTAATGAAAACAAAAAAGAAAGAGTAAAGTGAAAGGTATATGTATCAAAAATTTGTCCTGAATAATGGGTTATTCAATCCATTTGGTATTTGACAAATGGTATCAAAAGTATCGCAGCTACGTTATGCCAACATATTCAAACAATTTTTCGAATTGGAATTTGCTGAATAATTTAATTAAATTCTCATAAATTTTGGCCTAGATTTCTTAACTTGATATGCAATTAACAATAGTAGATAGTATCATTGCACAAATAAGTTGTCATTCCTTAGTTTCTAGACCAAAATAAGGAAATACTGTTGAATTCATTGAACAGAACTATTCAATTAAAAAAATAACTAAATTTTAGCCAACAATGTAAGCATTGCCCAGCAATATCATCAATTCCGTAAAGAATGAGTAATTTCCAGAAGACAACAACGGGAATTCCATACAGTCTTCCTGATAAAATCTGCCAATCTTTTTTGCAGGATATTTCTGACAATAAACTTGGAAACGTTGTTCCCCCGGATCGAAATATTTTGCACGCAAACAATTTTGCATTTGCTAAACGAAATGCTGCAAAGTGTCACATATTGTATGGCTGATACAGCTACCGTAACATCAATGATCCATTTGGATGAGACACAGAATACTATCAGCAAAACGACGGAATCAATCATCGTTGATGAAAACGATAGAAAGCAACAAAAATGGATTCTTACGATGTTATATTTGTTTCGGAGAAACAAAATGAACACGTTTGTACCATTATATCTCTCACTTTTTATTCATTTTAAAATTAATTTATACACATAAAATAATGATGAAGCAATCTGAAGTGATTCGGCTCAGTAATCTTTAGATTTCGCTAATCATTAAATCATTTCATCAGTCCATCCATCTTTCTGTCTATCTATCTATTTATCCATTTATCTATTTCTACCATGTTTTTCCATTTTGTTCTTTTTTACGCTTAATGTAAGGTTATCTGATGAATGGAGTATCAGACTGTTCTATTTGACACTTTTACTTTTAATAATTGCTTTTGTCAATTTCACCTCCATATGTTTCCCTATTTCCTTCCATTGAAACATTTAATTTTTCCAAAATTTCGAATTTTGAAATGGTAAAAGAAGACGTAATCGTTTATTCTCAGCTCTAATCGTTTGACCATTTGTAGGAACAAAATTATCCGTTTTTTCAATGTGAAATTTCACGAGTTGTTGACCGCTTTAGTAACAATCTTTCCGGATAGTCTATCTTACATCACAAGTTATCGTTTACATTTCATCCTGTTCGAAATGTATCGATCAAACAACATAGTTTGTAGACTATGATAAGAAGTGATAAGGTTATGCGATATAGGAATGAATGTTTGTAATTTTAAAATCCAGATCATCACATTTTCAGGAATATGACTAATGAACAGAAACTGGACGTTGCAGAATTTTCGATTACCCTTAGTAATAATGCTATCATTTCGGCGATCAAATTTGAATCAAAAATTATGCATCTTATCCTGATGCTGAGAATTTTCAACACCAAGGTATGATTAGCAAGAATTACTAAAATAGTCTTACACTTTTGTAATATCTTACGCAGTATCGGTATCGTCAAATACGTTTGATATGTCGTGCAACTTACTCTTATACTTCTAGTGTAAATGGCATTTCCTATGAGTAGCTGAATGTTGTATGAATTACCGATCTTCAGAGACGTACTACTTTCAATCCTTCCGATAACAAACATTTATTTACTTACTTGTTCCTTAACATGTTCAAATTAAAACAAAATCTAATTAATCAAAAATTTCGAAAAATCATTAGTCAAATTTAATGAATTGTTTGTCGCAGATACATCATAACAATGTATGCATTGTGAATAAGCCGAAAAAAGCAACGCAGAAGATTGCACTTGCAATTCAGGATATTAAAATGATGGTTACCGAGAAGGGAATTCCTGATATAAATGCCATATTTCGCGGTTCTCTCACTGCAGTTACTAGTACTTACCAAAGGTTTGGTCATATTTTGTCAGGCCTAAGTGCAATTTTTTCTCTTTACTTAAAGAGACAAAGGCAATAATCCATGGGAGAAATCATAGGCTTAAATAAATTAATCATAGGCTGAAAATGAAAAGAAATTGATATTAAGGGATTTCAGAAGATATGAACAAATTGCAAAAACGTAAAAAAGTTAATTCTCCTCGCATGCATGCAAATTTAATAACTGATAAGAGGGTTGTTCAAAAAGGGGTTTGTTCATTTTACACACATGTATGCACGCATTCATGTGAGTGCATAAATCGAAAAAAATTAAATGTTTAGAATATATGAAGCGAACAATTTGCTAAATAGTGTTTATTTGGCTGTAGAAAGTGCGAAATTAAATTACATCATTGGAAGTTCATTTATGATTGATGCAGAAGACAAGAAAGATTATGATAATAATGAAAGAGATAAAGAAAATTTGTCTGCAGTAAGTTAATTATCCATAGTTAAACATCTTCAATGCTATTTTCTGATATTGATATAATAGATTACTCATTTACAACAGCAATTAGTAATTAAAACTTCAACATCAAAACGTATCTTTTCTTTTAACTATCAAATTTTATTTTAATATTTCAAAACATACGATACATCAATTAATCTATTTGATATTTGAATGAATAGCGGATACAATAAAATTGATTTTTGCTAGGGTTTCATCATAAGTCGTTGTAAAAGCGAAATATCCATCTCTTATCGTAGAGTTAATGTACCTCATATTTATTTATTTTTTGTGTTTCTCCCTCTGTTCTCTCTCTCCCCCTTTGTCTTTCTCTTATCAGCACATAGTGGACTTCATATAATTAAAAATTATTTGTGTCGGAGGGGAAAAACGGTAAGATGACACGGCAGGAAACAAATTTATAATAATTTTGATAGACAAAGAGTCGAGAGTTATGGCTTTAATTTAAACTTCGGATTTGAGTCTTCATTTTCTCCGACTTTTTCAAACTGTTACATTAATTCATACAAATATCTGATATATCTCAAAAGTTTGAAATCTATTCGAAAAGTTGATTTCAATTTTTTTGTAGATCGATATATTGGTTGAATCATCAGTAATGTTAAAATTAAAATCAAATTTCAAAATTATTACAAGAGAAAAACTGTTTTTTGTATCGTATCTCAAAAGCGGATTAAAATTTTTTTTTTGATACGTTTATATCACTCTTATCAACCATTATCATATATCTGTCAGTGGATCATAAATATCTGTTGTAGTCCTCATCAAATGAACATCAACGAACTAAGGAAGTTCAAGAAGCGATCCAATTTAACTTTGATGTCAAAATATTGCATGGAGAATTGAATGCTAAAATTTCATCAAGTGTCACAGCAAAATATAATTCCAAAAATACGCATTGCTTTGGAATTTTGTAAGCAAATCGTTTTTAATATGTTACCTATTTCTTCCAATTAAATTCTTATAGCGAGAAATTCAAACGGAAAAGTGTAGATATAATTAATAAATTATTTGTGTAGGAGGGGAAAAACGATAAGATGACACGGCAGGAGATGACACAATATTACATAACATAAATTTTTCTATCATTACCAAAGCAGATTGTAGCTTTTTTTAGTAACAATTCATTCTAACTAATTATTATACATATATCATAATTTGAAATCAAAGGAGAAAGTTTGCCAAACCAAAATATTACATAACGTAAATTATACTTTTGTCAACTGGAAACATAAATAGAAACGTTGCATGAGCTTTGGTTCATTTACGTTCTGCTTAAATTTTCTTTTTTCCTTCGCTATCCATTGCTATTCAACTCGTATTGACTAGCCTTCTTTAGTAGTATTAGTAGTTTTTCCGTGGATTTTATTTTCATTTAGTAATTTTATATCATTACCAAAGCAAATTGTAGCTTTTTTTAGTAACAATTCATTCTAACTAATTATTATACGTATATCATAACTTAATTATATAATGATTTCAGGCAAAATTAAAAACTAATTTCAGTCCAAAAAAAGGTACAGCATCGATTGAAAATCATTTCATTACATATACCTCATTTTATTCAAAAAAATTACCCAAATGGATGCGGTTAGGAAGTTTTTCCATCAAATTACCGTCATTATTGATCGTATACGAGAAATATACGACAAATGAAAATGAAATTATTCGAATGGACAAAGAAGAAATTGTATGCTTCGAGGAATCGTATGCTAATATTGTTATCACTGTTGGTGAGTATTTTTCTGGCAAAACATCGGTTATCAGTTTTAGTAAGATATAATGGCGAAGAAAGAGAAAAGAATTGAAAGATGTGCGAATTTCGTTATGATAAATATATTATCACCTCCATATTTCCAGAACAACTGAAACCTCATGCTTAATGTAACATGACATGATATAAAAATTGTAACTGAGTCGTAATACCTCAATCGAATAGTATTTAATTATTCTATTATCGTAATTAATAATAATAATGGTAATAATAATAATAATAATAATAATGATAATAATAATAATAATAATAATAATAATAATAATAATAATAACAATAATAATAATAACAATAATAATAATAACAATAATAATAACAATAATAATAATAATGATAATAATGATAATAATAATTTATGATGATAATAGTAATAATAATAATTAGTAACAATGATAATAATAATTAATGATAATAATAATAATAATAAATATAGTAATACTAAACTACAATATTAATGTAATGGAAAGTAGATCTCAATAATAAATCATGTTATCGCGGTCCAGTAGTATTTACTTATCTTAAATAACACTCTGAATTATCATTGCAAATGAAACCGATCAAATTTATTTGATTAGTATATGATCAAAAAAGGAAAAATGATTGAGAAAAGTATCATTGATTAGATCGAACAAACAGACCGTAATTATTTACTTACGGATACAGTTATTGTTCAGGGAGTCTGGATCAATCAATAAATACCGATGTATTGAATATGTTACTATATTCACATGAAACAGCCGTTGCTGAAGTTGCACATGTTATGGGCATTGTGCGTAATTCGACAGTATTCAACCGAAATTCTTACTACAATTCACCATTTCTTTTCCAATTACAGGTTAATATATTATCACTTTCCTTCCGTGATCATTAAAATTACTCTTAAATTACCTATGCTTCCATTCATACATTGAGTGAAACTTTTCTTGCTATTATAAATTTTTTTTTATTAAAAGAAAAGGACAAGATAATAATGAGCAAAAATTAAAGATTAAACATTAACTGGATATCCTGAAAAGAAATTTCATTTTACTATTTCTCCCCACGAGTAGATTGCTGGAGCTTTTCGATGGCGTAAAAAGTTTGGTAGGAATAATAACGCCTGAAAAAAAAAGGAATTTAGTTTTACAAGGAGTGTTAAGCCTTTGAATAACAACGAAAAATTTTTTAATTATCGGAACTGATCAGCCATTTATTTGATCATACCAGCTAATTATCAAATATGACATCGTCTAACAACTGTGACTGTATTTTTGCCAATCTCAGATACAGTGCGAAAATGTTGCACCATGGTTGAGGCTGACGTTAACCGATACGACCAATACCGCATTTCGTATTACAACAGAAGTGGTCAACATGTTCTTCATGGATCGGAATATCCTGAATAACAACATTTTCCAGGTTTCATTTTCTCTCTATATTTTTTCATCAGTTGAAAATCAAGGTTTCTTCGCTCAAATAATGAATAATATTCAGTCGAATTTATCATAGGAAAATCTTACATCATTATATTTGTCACCAATCCAATATCAATTACTGCTAAGTTTTAAAAAATGATAATACTGTATAGATTGTCACGTTTGTTAAGCTCATTTCTAACAAGCTTGCTATCTTTAAGCACTTTTAAAGATCTAAATATTGGGTAAGTGACAAAAATTATAGAGACAAATACGAGGTAATATATGCTTTTGTTTAAATTTCAAACTTGGACAAATGATCCGAAACGAAACATTCCAAGACGATGAACTGCGAGAGCTAGCTGATTTCACAACTAATGTTTGTTTTACGTATTAATTCATTTATTTTTGTCTTCTCCAATCATTATCATCTCTACACACCAATTTTTTGGTAAATCAGTCGCGGTTTACAATAATTTGATTAACAAAAATCAAATTACGTTATCAGTTGTCAAACTTCTAAGTGGAGAATTTTAATTATTCACCGGGAATCACGGTAGAGAAGCCTAATTTTTAATAAAATGTTTTTTGAAATTGAAACATTAAATGACCTTTTTCTTAGCATAAAAAGATTGACAAATATTTTTAAAATATGATTTAGAAAAGGATTGACATTAATTCTTTTTTTCCAGTTAGCATGTACATTTCACTTCAGTCCTAAAAGTGTTCCCAACGCCACTGTCATTTTATCCCGTACTGTAATTTTATTAAAGTTTCCGGCAATCATCAGGGTATTGCTATTTTTCACTGATTGTATTTATTCTGTAACACGTTCGATTTAGCTTATTTAATGAAGGAAACTTCTTTCGATTATCAGGAAATTGATTTGCATAAATGTAATCCGATATACTCTAATTTTTTGTTGGTTTTTCATTTTGTTAACTCTTTATCAGTCTTCTCTTCACCTGAAATTACGAAATTTTCACTTTTAACAAATTCTTTTCCTTACCTGCAGTCATTACTTTTAACAAATTCTTTTCCTTACCTGCAGTCATTACTTTTCTTTTTCAGGCGAAGAATATTCTACAAGATTTCAGTCTATCACGTAGTTTCTGGATGAAACAAAAAGTGCGTCATGCAACGCAAGCAGAAAGCGATTCATCGCAAATGACATCACATAGTTCACTTTTAGTAGGTACTTAGTCAGTCCGAAAATAAGAGTTTAGAAAAGTTACAATAACTCGAAATTCTGATGAAATGCTCCAAAATTTGATAGGTCATTCTGCTAATTGCATGCTAAAATGATTTAATGATTTATGGAATTCTGAGATATTGCAATTGAGCCTTGTGGACAGTTCAGTTCACAAAAGTAGCCTCAATTAATTAACCTAGAATATTATGAAGAATATATGTCATATGTATAAAAAGAGTCAAGTTCGTTTCGATGATGTTCCTTACTGAATAGAAAATTTCCGACATGTCTAGTTTGAGGTTAGGGATTGAAATTGCTCCAGTGTAGTAGAAATCATCACATAATATTTCGTTCCACATTTTAGGATGTAGCAGATGGCTTGGTAATGAAGATAACGCTGCTATTTCGTGATCGTACAACGGCATGTATACCGCTTTATAGTAACAATTATCGACCGTTCACATCTGCCCTCTTGTTTGGTTTGAAAGATGCTGAAGCAATGGTTAAATTCGTACAAGGAGCCAAAGCTGAAGCTCAATTTAGCGATTTTAAAATTGTTTTTGTGGAAAATTTCGAAAATGTTAGTCCAACAATCTTTTCGTTTACATCGATCTTCTAAATGTTATGGATGAGAGATGAATGATTAGGCAATTTAGAACGAATAACTTAAAATTATTTTATATCTGATAGCAGCAGCACATTAATGGGAGAATTTCAGGATCCCTTCTTGGGTCATCTACTGATAGTCGAGTTTAAAATTGGAACAATAACATGCAATGATTTCTTATTAATTTGTCGTTCTCTCTCATAATCCCCATGACGTGAATTTTTCTTATCAATTACTGTTTTATTCCGTCATTGCATACAGAAAGTAAACTTCGTCAGGCTATTCTTCCATTCCCTGTTACCAATCGGATAATTATTGTAGAAGACTGAAAAGCCAAGCAAATTGAGGTGATGGGAAGCCTGAATATTATAGCTCAAACTTCTTGATATATTTTGTTTCTTTCGATTCTTACAGAGATATCTAGATGCTACTGTATTGCAGGCCATGGAAGAATCGTGGATTAATGGCCAAGAAGTTACATCGACAAATTTTATATTCTTCCCGCTTGGTGTTTGCAAAATTGTTGTGAAGTCTTCAAAGTCGAAACACTATAAGCGAGTAGCATCTGTACAATGCTCAATAAAAGGCCTTATCTTTGATATTGATAGCGTGAGTTACATTTTTAACTACTGCACGTAGATGAGGAGGAATGCATGTTTCTCTTGCAATTTTAAGTTTTATGTATCAATCTAGTATGAAAGTATCCCAAGCATCTGTTCTGACCAGTGAATGATTTCTGAAATAATCTAATTAACGAAGGGCTTGAGATAACCAGAGGTGGAACTATTTTATAAATGTAATTAAACCGATTATTAAACTGCTTTCCAAAGATAATTTATAATTTTTCGTGGATTTGGAAAATTTACTGTTTTCAATACTGTTTCAAGAAAGTTTTGAAAACAACAAAAATGTCTCAATATTTTATAGCGTATTGGAAATTTGGTTGGCGCAGTGTGGAATACGTGTGCAGCAATCAATGAAGATCAAGATGTGGATGCGAGTGAATATGAGCCGATGAAAATTGTCATAAGCGAAGTGGAATGGGATGATGATATTAATCCGAAAAATGAATATGCATCGATTGTCAAACCGGAAAAACGAATTCGTTGGGTTGAACAAAAGGTTACAAATATCATTACCTTAAAAAAGTCTAAAAAAAAACGGGAAAAGGAAAAAATCAAGTTTTCAAAAAAAATTCAAAATCAATACGATATCATTTCTCAATTGTCTTTGAGTTCAAAAAATAAATAAATATTGAAATTAAGAATTTGTTTTTTCTTTATCTTGTTCATATGAATTCTCTTTAAGCTAATTCTGCTTAACATCTTTAAGAAATGCATGATAGCTATAGGAGCTAGAAAAGATATATACTATTGATTATTAAACTAAATAATTCCAGTTAGCTTTAATTAAAAAGGTGTGAATAAGTTTTAAGAAAAGCTTTAAGAAAAACCAATAGTTTCATGGGACTTCTTTTCTCCCTCGATGATTCAGTTCATTTTAGAATCGCCAGTTTTTATTTGGATAATTTGATCCAGATATCTCGGACTTTTTCCAATTAACAACAAATATAGAAATGGAAAGAGAATGTAGTAAATGCAGCCTTCTTGCTCTGAACTTGTAAAGGGATGACTCATTTATCGTTGAATTAATAAGAATTTTTGCGAGACATACAGTGCTTTCTCCAATGTAATATTGAACTAATGCAGTACTTCCTCAAACAGAAAGGAATAAGCATTCTGTGCTGTGAGATTTCTATAACAAACAAAAAAAACAATAGGTAAAAAGGAGGGAATTTGCGCTAATACACTAATTTCATAGTTAAATCTTTTCATGTCGTTCGAAATCATTTTGTTTGCTTGATGGGCAATTTATTTAGTAGGATCGGGGTTTAATTAAGGTCATAGTTTAAGTTTGACCAAAAATCAGAGTTTATAATCAGAGATTAATCGAAGAAATAAAGTGGAATGATCTTAGAAATTAGAATTAAATATCATATGTTGCTATTTTGAGGATCGATGAAATTCACCATATAATTTATTTTGATTAGTTTTTTAAAGATTGGTTAAACAAATGAATATTCATGAATAGGAAAAAGGAACAACAAATTAAAAAAAATAAAATCAAGCTAACGGAGTAAGAAGTTATTTCGCTGATGGAAATCTTTAGATTTATGAGCAAACGCAGAAATTGGCTGTGATAAAGTCTCACACAACAGATGTCGCATATCAATGGGAATTGCGACGTTTGAAAAAACTTCAGCTAATTCGAGTGAAGCAATTCAAAGAATCGATGCTTGATCGCTTAAAACGACAAAAACTACAAGAGAAACAATTAAAAAAGGCAACAATTACAGAGGTATTTGTAAACGATTGAATTTTCGTTTTGAAAATTAAATATTTTTTCAAAGATTTATTGTTCCTTGGATGCATTTTGTTGGAGTAAGTTGTAAATTGTAGGAATAAATAAGTGTTGGGCTAACCTAGACCTAAATCACCTCTGTCATTAGTTCAAGCTTAGTTTCTCGATTAACGAAATCGGACGTTACATTTCTCTAATTCCAAGATCGCTTAATTTGTTTAGCATGTATGTGTTGGAAGCATGTTCCATTTCATTTGATGGCTAATGTAAAACGAACTATAATAATTTACAAATATTTGCAGGACAAAGCTGGAGATGAAAAAGATCTTGAGGGAAAATCAGACAGCAAATCAGTTACAGGAGAGCAATCGGCAAAATTCCTTCGAGAAACTACATCGAGTGACGAGTTAAAAGGAAATATTGGCGGTACATCGTTAGGAGAGCATGAGATTTTTGACAAAATGAATGATAGTATGATGAAAATTGATGAAAAAAAGAATGGTGGATCATTCGTATTTGACATGCAGGTGTTCAATAATTAAGTGCTAAATTCTTACTTAAGTTTGGTACCATTGTCATTTCTTATTTCCTTTATTTCTCCTGGATCTTTTGGTGTCATAATCATGTTAATATATCATTGATATAGCCTTAGGTAATTGGGAGTAATTTAATTCTTTTTTTTAAGTAAAAGAAGTCGAAACTGAATTTTTTAAGCCGAAATTCTCTTCTATCCTACCTCTGTCATTTTCATTAAAACTTTTCCCAGTCACTGGCTACTTATTTGGTAGCAATGAGGGAGCTTATTTTCAAAATGAAATTCATGTATGATTCCAAATATTACTGCAAGTATCGACAACAAACGAAATCGTTTAATTTTTAAAAATGAAAATTTTCGCTGTGTATTAGTAAATTCATTTCTTCAGAATCTAGCAGAAAATAAAATTCGGAATTTTTGCAGTTTTTTGGCGAAGCCGGCGAATGTATGTTGCGAAATAGAATTTCAACGGAGTTTGCGAGTACGACAAATGCTGCTTCAGATGAAATTAAAAGGCATGATGAAACCAGTGCAGGACTCACGAAAATTTCATTACCAAGGTCAATTCGTATTTCTGTTCCTTCTATTTTAAAGTATAGAAAAAGCGAAGAAGAGTAAGGAACGGAGGAGGAATGTAAAGGGATTAGCACAAGGAATTAGAATAATGTGCTCGCAAAATATGCATGTAGAATGCATGCTTTGCATGATGATACCAAATTCATTTGTTGCTTGTAGCAAAAATTTAATGATTTACTTTGCAATCGGAAGGATTCAGTGCATAAATGCTCATCGTGATGCATTTTGCTGACGGTAACATTTGGATATTTGTAGTCACTACAGGTCATTGGACATTTATACTTGCTACGAACTTTCATCATATTTTTTGCATTCCAAATTTAATGTTTTCTCTCTCCATTTTGCTTAGCTTTTCTTAGAAACCTTTGCGTTCAATTTTACTTCTTTTTCTATGATATTTCGCAATTTGTTAGTTTATCGATAAGATCATTAAAAAGATAGGACATGATAGCGAATCATTTTCTTAATTTTTGCCTTTTCAAATTTGGTTATTACAGCATCGAAGCGAAAATGTATTATTCCACCAAATCTTTTCTTGTGTAAGTCAAATCTCTGTTTACTCAGATTTAAATTTCAATATCAGTTAATAATAACGATAATGATCGATCAATTTGATCCACGGGTGGTTTTGTCTTTGGCAAAAATACTTTCAAAATTTTAATATAAATTGTGGAAATTCTTATTGTAGTTTTGTATTTAGAAGAAAATCAACCCCGGCAGTAACATCCAATGCTACTTCCATACCATATTTGTATGTATCAGCAAATGTGGCTAATATGCCTGAGGAAACAGGTCTCACTCCACTTGTTGCTGATTTTTTCCAGCAACTGCTGGAAAATTTACCTCAACATTTTCCTCAGCAGGTATAATTATTTATTCGTTTTCGGAACTCATCATCCATTTTTGCAATTATTCGAGTATTCTGCTGAATTATGATCATAGGAACTATTGATTATGTTGAACTGTAAATTCTAGCGTCATCAACTATACATTTCGTTCTTCAAGTATATTGAGATTAATTACCGATTACGTAGAAATATTAATAGAAGACGGTTTCTTCATTTTGATAATTTCAGTCAGAAAATGAGAGTGACACTTTTAGTATGGCCGATACAGAATCGTTGTTAACTTGTATTCATTCCAAATTAATGATTAATATCTTACTTTCAATAACCATCCAGTCTAGTTCACTTCGTTTCGAAGCTCATCAACAGGTTTGCTCCGATTCACATGACATTACTTACCAGCATGCTCAATTTTGGCATTACGTTTCTCATGTACAGAAGAATTCCCCTTCAATATAGTTACAACTTCAGATGTTCATTTTAATGAACCTTTTCATTCTTTCTAGTTTCTTTCCGGATAAATTAATGAAAAAGAACAAAATCAAGTAGTACATGTTTTATGAAAAGAAGGATAAAATAGAATGTCTAAAACTATATTTTGTAATGTGCTGTTAAAATATAAACCAGTTCGTAAAGTGTAAATCTAGTATTTTATATATTTTTAAATATTCTAAAGATATTAAATATTCTGATAATTTTAGCAAGAAAATATGAACAATTTATAAACTCATTTGCTGATTGTTTCCAGAGAGCAGGCGCAATGGATCTTTTATTACGGTTACCATCATTAAAGCTTGTTGCTTCGGTTCATAACGACACAATTAACAACGGTTTCGATATTTCATTAAGCTTACAGTCGTTTTCCGTTTGTTTCTATAATCCTCATCAGGTTTAATTCATTCATTTTCCTAAATTTGTCCGGACTTTTTTTCTAAATTTTTTGATATTTCAGTCCAATCAAATTGTTGATTTTAACCTGAAGAAGTGACTCAGCCACATTTAGTAATTCATTTTGACAATATCAAAATCATTATATCAAAATCTAAGATAGAAATCCTATGTATAGATCTAATAAATTACGGCTGATTTCTAAGAATTTTACGAAATGCTACTTTTTAGTAAATATGCCAAAATATTTAACAATATTTTTTTTTTTTAATGCAGCCTTCTCCGCTGGATGCATTTGCGCTTACATTAGATATGTTCACCGTTGGTGTTTCACGTACGGGCATATTTTTACATGATAATTCTCATTCAAAGGTTTGTTGTACCGATTTGAGCGATTTATCCACTCAGTAAAACTTGGTATTGACAAGTATTGTTTGTACCATTTTAGGCACAACTTATAGAAATGAGCTTTCTTGGCTAAAAAAAGTAGAAAAATTGAATGAATTTGCAGATTGCTTGTGCAGTCGATATTGGCCAAGCAACATTTACATATGATATGCGAAAATTATCTCAACTGATATCCTTCCCAGGTCCATGGTATCGTAGAAGGATCGCGCAACGCTTTCTGCTCAAGCAAGATCAATTTTCAAAAGCCCAAAATATCGGAGTTGGTCAATCATTGTATGCTATTACATTTGATTCGATTTAGGAAAGAAATTGTTTCACTTTGCAAATTGCAGTACAACGAATACTTGTCACAAATGACCAATGATCATTTGTTTTCCTTCGCTCAGTACAGTCGATTATATGGAAATGATTAATTTCTTTTTGTTAATTTTGTTGAATTTAATTACAGTACAAAACGAACGAGCAAAATGATAGATAAATTAACGCTTGAAGCATCAATAAGTGTTCATTGGGAATCTTTCAAAGCGAAAATTCAGATGTCCAGTGCAATGGGTGACACAAATTGGACAATTGATAAAATTTCTGCAAAAGTTATATTTTGTGTTAGTTTATTATATGTAATCGGCGCATTCTTCAGGATGTTGTAAGATAACGTTATCAATCCGTTTATCGAATAATGATGGAGTGCAAAATATTATTAACAGAGAAATATTTTCATTTTTTAAAAAATTACACTACCAGATAGTACTATCGGTTTACTTTTTTCTTTTTTGTTTTTACTTCATTTAGAATTAATTAGTTAGGTTAAAAATGAATTTATTTCATTCGAATTGCAACAATAAAACTAATTTATTTCGAATTATGTAGTTATCCTTAATTGTAGCCGCTTTTTTATCCTATTTTATCTCAGAAAAATGATAAACTTTCCGAATTTTCATCTCTTTTCAATTTTTAGCTCCAACCATTCGTCGAGCGACGACTGAATGCATGCTTTGCCGTATCATTTTTGGAACAAGAAGCAAAAGGTGGCGCTATCTCCGGATCATTACGACTGTCCAATACTGCATTAGATTTCAGCTGGATATCCCTTTGCAATGTTCGTTTTCGTTTGATCACTTCGCCTATCCGTATGAATTTTCAATTTCCTGAAATAGCGAAATAATTTGAAATAAGTGAAAAACACCTGAACAAATATTTTTTTTAAGCAGCCTACGTCATTTTCATCGATGGTAAATTGTAATGAATTAGAAATGCGAGTTATCTGGATGGGCCGCGTAGTTACTGTTGTATTATTTGACCACCCATCTCTTCTGTTTAATGACGACTGGAAATTATGCAATGATCAACATGGGAAGGTAAAGAATCTTCATAAAGCGAATAATTTATGAATCACTGAGGTGAACGAATAGGTATAAACTGGGATTTATTAAATTTATGAAATCTTTCTTCGAGAAATTGATGGTGACTTTTTTTAATTTTTACTTCCTTATTGTGTTTGAAGATTCCTTTAGAAATGCAAGAGAAATGATGATCTACAGAAAATATTCAGCACAAATCCCATGATACTGTAATGACCACGATCTGATAGTCATCCGATAGCTTAGCATATAGTTAATATTCTGTGAAAATTTAAATTTAATCAAGGATGATGTCGCCATTACACAGTTAATATATATAATTTATACTAGGTCTTTTCCTTAAATTTTGAAGTATTAAGAAGGTCGGATATGAGCATATAATGAATGGAAGGAAAAATTGATATTAACCTTAGGAATTTTGTAACGTTCATAATTTACTTGGCTTATCGACAGGTAAAAGAAGCAATGGTAATGCTTAACGCTATTTTGAAATATTCTAAACTACAAGCTGTTATCACTAAGGCTACATTGAACAGTATTGATAGCATCATCCAAAAGCTCAGCATCTTCTTTAAGGTATCTATTAAAAAAAAAAACGCATTTTTTATCACTAACCAGGCGTGATATATTCCAGATAGCATTTATTCGATATTGACAGAAAATTAAAGGGAAAAATAATTGCAATTAGAAGTATTTTAAACGCGGCTTTAAATGAAGTTCTTGTTTTGATCACAAATAGAATTTATTTTTTCATTGTTGAATAAGATTTATTTTCGCTTATTATTCAAATTGACCATTCATTGTCGACAGAGGGACGTAGGTTTGCTAAAAAGTTCAAGATAACGTAAGCAACTTATCGAGATAAAATTAAAAATGAAACTCAAACGAATAATAAAAACTGTTGGGGGATGTAAGTGAAAATAAAACTTGGGAATAAAAATGGAATGAAGTGAATTTTAGGAACAAATGCAAGATAGTCGCGCGTTGCGCAGTCTAGCGAATGGAAAATTATCAACGGTTAAATGTGAGAAAAAGTCAACAGCAATATTTCACTGGGCAATAATTCTGGATTTGGTCACTGATATGCAGATGAAAAGTAAGGCATTTCCGATGCCTAATGCTAGCAATGGAAGGACAGTTATTAGTGGACGATTTATTTCTATTGGGCAGCAAATTTCATTGGTTCTAATGGAAGGTGAAATTACAGCGAATCGGTACGTAATTTATCAAAATACAAATTTTTTAATGATCTACGGGATGGATTGGCCGGAATTAGGTGTATTATAAATTTGCATTAAATTGGATTATTTTATCCAAAATATTCCTTGAATCACAATTCTGGAATTCAGCAATATTTTTTCAACATATATTCTTGGCTGGAAAATGTTCTAAAGTGAAAAATCAAAACTGAATTTAGCAAAATGCAAATACAACTCAGTGAAGCAAGATGTTAGTAAAGTTGGGCAAAATGGAAAAAATAAAATTTAATCGAATTTCTTATTTAAACAAATTCGTCAAATTATTGATTATATTTTATTTTCTTACTTTTTTATAAAATATCCATACTGCCGGTATACTGAACAGTGAAATTGTAGTATGAGAATGAAAAAGATTTTAGATATCAGCCAACTTCTCAAGTTTAAACTTCTATCTATGTTAGGTATTCTATTGATACAGCAGACCTGATTACATTTTTTAAGGGAAAAAATTCAGAAATCTTACATATATCCCGAATAGTTTAATTTGTAAAATTCTTCATGACTGGTGTAATAAACAGTCTTATCTTGTATTCTCGGAACATTAACCCAAATTTGAATAGATCAGTTAATCCCATTCTGTTCAGCTGGGCACTTTTTTATCTCAATCAACCAACATTAATTTTCTCAAATGCTGCACAATATATGTTTCTTGACGAAAAACAAAATATTGGCATTGATTTATCCGAAAAATTACTACTTAAATTGAGTGGTGCAACGAAAGGAAATAAATTTCATGACAATTGGACAAGTGCTATTTGTAAAGTAGAGGTCCGGTTGCTTTTTGCTTTATTTTCAAATATTATGACAAATTAAAATTTTTGTTCAAATGGAATAACTTATGAAAACTGATCACATTTCCGAATAATATTCGTTTCAGTTTTTTACTAATGAGATCGTTGTTTGACAATAGTTAAGTTTTCTTATATATTTTTTATTGTAAGTGCTAAATATTAGCACTTAAACATTTTTGCCTAAATGTTTACTTTCTTCCTTACTAATTAGCTGTAATCCCGAGATATCATTTAGATCCAGTGTTCTGGTACGATACTACACCAAAAATAGCTTAAATTTATTTGGCTTCGAAAATTGGTCTCGAGAATATTACATTAAATTTAATTATCATGCCTTTACGCATTTGTATGTAGTATGTCTTATCCAACGCGAGAGTTTATGTCTTTTTTTCCAGCGTCGTAAAAATCAAACATGTCCAAAATATACAACGATTCAGGAATGTCTAACATTATGCATCGACGAACCATTAGCTCAGCTTTTCTCAATAAACCAAGACTCAATCAAACCTCAATCGATGGTGCTTGAGCTGTTCGAGTGATTTTTTTCTTCGTTATTCAATCCTAACAAAAAATTTTGGAAATCATTTCATAGGTTTGTAGCAAAACTATAATCATAATGCCACATTCTGATTTCTCAAATCGATGCGTAAGGAAAAACTATCCCAATTTTGCCGCATGAACATATTATCGTCAAAGATAAGCACCAGTACTTCTTTCCTAATTTTTGACTGCGTTTCCTAGACTACCAGCAATGGATTCTATTTTTACGAGCAATCAAAAGGCACCAATTCACTTGGAAAAACTACGAGATGTTAAATCCGAAGTCAACTTTCTTTTTTCATTTCAAAGTATTCTTAGAAATTTAGTAGTAATGGAGATTAAGGTTTGAATCTGTGAAGTGATTAGACAAGACTGCATGCTCAGTGTAACTTCTGCTGGTATTTGTTCAGATCTTTTTCTTCTTTCCCTTTCATCTTTTCTTTAGTAAATCTAACATCGTTGGAAATGTTAATATTTTGTTAATTTAGTATAAGAATACCTGGATTTTATTCAGATCCTGTGTAACGTCATCTGTGATTTCCATCATGCACTTGGTGTCCAAACTGACCTTACAACACAAATCAATTTTCTTCCTGAATTACTTCGATCCTATCTTATGGAACAGGTTTTTATTGTGTTATCCATTACTTTTCACTGTTACATATTTCTCCTTCAAAGCTGTCCTACACATTTGTATATTATATGCCTGAAAATAACTGAAAAAAAAATTGGAAGCTGTCCGGGACCTAGGGAAACTTAAGATCAACATACATATATATTTAATGTAATCCAGGATAAAGTTGAAAAAGGAGTAGGAAGATCCATGGAGAAAGAAACAGGAACAGGCAAAGTTGGAAAAACTGATCAACGACAGTATATTTGCAATCAGTGGAAAGTAGATCCAAAAATACGATTCATCGATAAGGTGAAATGGGATCCTCCAGTTATAGACGAGATTCTGCGCAAGCTACAAGTAAGTCTCGAGCCTCAGGGATAGCTCGAAGCGGAGATGGGGTTAGCAGAAAACGATTTGATCAGAAATGCCGAGAAGAGATTGCTCATTATTTTAGATATTCGATCATCGGAATACTATACCCAAAGTTGTGCAAAGACATATACTGGATCACTGCGATATGTTTGTTTCAAAAGCTCTTTCCTCTATTGTGAAAGTTGCAAAAGAAGTTTCAGTAAAAAGTGACCCAATGCCTGGTCATCTTTAATGGGGAAGAGGAGCAAGAAAATACGATTCAGTATTTATTGTTTAATTTTCGCTTTTTTTTTAATAAAGCAAAATGGAGCAATATGAAACCTACAGACATGATAAAAATCCAGAAAATCCGTAGATCCTCAAATAACCATTTCGAGGCATGGGAAATAGGACAAAAGATATTAAAGCATAGCAGCATATCTCTTAGAAATTTCAAGTAAATCACGACAACAACCGGATGATCCATAAAGTCACCCTTCCAAGTCTAACTTTTAAAAGAAAAAACTGAAAGCCAGTGCCATCGAATTTCTCGGAAAAATTAAGGATGAGTCATTTCCGAAGTTTGGTTGCACCAATACCAACAAAAAAAAGCACACACCTTTGAAAACGAAGCTTTAGTGATCTTGTTGAGGTCAGAACATATAAAACGACAACCTTATTTGGAAACGACATATAATAATTAGTAGCTACCGAATTTCGTGTTTATGGAGCACCATCCTATCATTCTCAACAGAGAAATGCGGCTTTTATTAAATTCCATTCGGCTCATTTGCAGTTCTTCACATGCAACTGCTATCAAAAACTACATCTGTAAACAACGACCTCTCAATTTTCCGGTCTAGAGGAAAAGTCGACAATGCAATTATTTTACTTATTGTAAGAATGTTGACAAAGGTTTTTCTTCCATCCGATTTTCGTCCATTAATCTCCGATCAAGTGCTTCATGTAGTTGGCGCACTGCTTTCAAGCCAATACTGATCATTTCTTCTAAAACTGTACAAAGTGTAAGTGCTATAACTATATTTGCACACAAATGTTATCACCCTTTACTTTCTCAAAAATTTCCTCCACCTTCGAAAAACTGGAATTAAGGCTAAATGAAGTTGGGAATAAATTAATCGGGCTATGATAACTGGACTTGAAACATTTCATAGGTTAGCAGTGCAATAAATTGCGAATATATCTTAAATCTCTCGACTATAGATAATGTATTTCATTCTAGTGACAGTAATTAAACAAAACTTTGAAAAAATTGTTGCAAAATTTGGACAGCATTTGGAAAAACTACAAAAATATGTACGCCGCAATAACCTAGTGTAGAACTTCTTCAGAAGAATGCTGCAGTAGCCCCTTCATGGAGATAATAGGTTTTAAAAGAAAGAAGAAAAAACTAACCAAGTGAATCTACCTCAAGAGTGCCACCACCACATTGCCTCATAAAAGTAATTACGCCACCATTACGCTTCACTACAGACTGGTTACTTTTCTGAAAAAAGTTCTTCACTCAACGTTCTCACAATCTCTCATCTCTGGCTTCCTGTTCTCTTGTTGTAGACGCAAAGTGAGGAAAAGTAACTTAGTATAGATGGATCATCAAGTTCGCTGCAATTTCTATCTTAGAAAATTGGAAGCATCATTGAACAAGACTGACAATTTTGTTCAAAAAAAGTTGGGATTAAGCATACGTTGTGATCGGTATCGGAAACAAAATGTGGAGCAGCGGCGATCCAAACGGATGTGCGAGTGCATGCTTCTTCTGCCAATGAATTGTCAACAATTTTAGCACTTCCAAGTCTATTTACACTGACAAACAAAGGAACTCTGTAACAAATAACAAATCTATAGATGCAAAATTCGAGATGTAACTAGGGAACAGTGCAATTATACGTCATGTTAATCGAATTACATTAAGCACCGTTCCAGTCACAGAGGAAAAGAGAGTTTCGATAGAGAGGAGGATGAATAAAGTCGTTCTACCAAATCCCATTCCTCCGAATCTGAATTGGAAATGTTTGTAGTGGGAAATAACAACGTATGAAAGGAATTTCAGCTCATGAAAGAGATTGAGGGCAACTCATTTGAACAAAGTCTCGTATAATAATAGTTTTATAATTCGTTCTGTTGAATGGATATGTTCGTTTTCAATTAAACAAATTTCATATTAAAAAAATCAAACCTGCTATATCTCAGAACGCATACCTTGATGTATTTAATTTCCAAACGGTATTATCATCCGGCAAATCAATTGTATACTTTCCCTCGTCGGCTGGTCTGACTATAACTTTGCTAATTTCCGTATCTTTCAGTGCTGCCTTAACCTAAAATTACAAATATGTAATGGAAAAGTACGCAAAAATCAAAATAATTCCTCAACTTCTCAAGTTGCAATTACTAATCAAGTCAATATTTTGCTTGAAGCTTATAAACTTATTCTGCAAAAAAAGGAAAGAACTCCACTAACCCCTAAACCTGCTGCATCAATGACATTACCGTCACACTGCAAAAGAACGATATCCACAAACAGTTTCCATACATGCATTGGAGATAGAATCAACCTATGAAAATATATATCTAAAAATACGAGGAAGAAATCCAACATTTTACGAAATGGAGAGCGTGAATCCTAGCATTTCTTCAAATCATCATGCTACATTCGAACTGCATGCTACCGCTATTATTCACATTATTATAATTACTTTTTCAAATCTGGAAGCACATAGTTGTTGTCATAAGCAGCATCCAATGCTGCACTTAACTCATCCGCGAATTCCTCACCACCACGACCTGAAATTACCATAATTTTAACTACTCATTTTTTAAATCAAAACATTGAACGCTAAAGATTATAGATTCCGCATTTCACATTGAAATTAATATATTCCATCAGCCCTTCTTTAATTTCTTATTAGTACAAATGAAAACGAAAATCTCTTTTACCAAAATCTTTAAATTATAAAAATCATCTTAATTTAAAGTATTGAAAAAGCTCTTAATTCCAAACCACTTCCAACTATTATGAATAAATTCTTATCAGTGGTAGACGCATTGTTACATATTATCATTAGTATGCTTAAATGCAGCGTGGGCTCGATTTACCGCAATACAGGCTCAAGTAGAGAATATCCATGGTCTTGCTGAAGGACATCAGGAAGAGAAACATATTTATAGAGATATCGAATTAACTATCCCATACTATATCTGTATCCAGATACATCTGCACCATACCAGAAGCAACATTGCATTTCAATGACTGCATTTCAGTGACGCCAATGACTTCACTGATTAAATTGGTAATTAAAGGCGCACTTCCTTTACATACCAGCAAAGAGTGGAGTGGCATTTGCTGAACAATCAACAAAGAAATTTAGCCGATTCCGGTAAAGAGCAATATTTTCCACACTAATCAGTTCCGCTTTGACACCAATTAACAGATCAGTTGAACCTATTCGGACGCGTGCTGAACCATTTGTTGTTGCCAAAACACCGGTTTGCACTATTACAGGTCGGTAATCGAACGGGCTATAATAAAGACTATAATAAACGGGCTATACTGATTACGAAACATTAAGATAAAGGAAAAATTGACCCTACTAAGATGAGCTTACTGAACTTCTTCTTTGGAGCCTGGGGCAGGACTTCATCCAGAATTTTTTGAAAACTATGTTAACTATCAAAAGTTTCCATAGTGAAGGATATTTCGTTGAAAAAAAAGGAAGAATTATCAGAACATTACCTTGAAACTAAGCGAAAATAAGATAGTGCGGTGTAAAACTACAAATTTACCCAGAGCCACCTAAAATCAACCGTAACATACTTACCTACGTCCATCAGCTCGTAAACCTTCTTGTGCACCATGTATTATGAATACTTTTTCGGCTTCACTCAATCGAACTTCCATTTTCTACAGTTGATTTCGAACTTGCAGAAAACTAAAAAGCGAATGCCCTAATTGCTATATCGAAATCTTAGTCTATCTAGTATCATAACGACACGGTTTTGGAATTAATAACGGTGATTTTATGGTATCACGTAGACTAATTTTCTCATGGTACCATATAGACTAAGAGATCAAGACTCCGCAAACACGATTGCCTAGCACCATACAAGAGTCATAACCCACTAACATACAACCACCACATCTACCATGGGGAGAACCACATGGACATCGTGTCACTATTCCACACCACAGTATCACAACCTGCTCTGCAACATCATGTACCGTAGCGTGGTGCCACAGAGGTACTATGACCGTACACCACACCTGCCTAAAGTCGCAATTTACTTCTCGGCCCACATATATTATCAAATGCAATCAATGAATCCCAGATGGAGGCCGTTCTCGTAATTCCCGGAAGGCCAGAGTCTCCGTGGTTTCATGGGTAACGGTCTACCCAGTAATTCGTATTTTCTTCGGATATTTAGTAGAAGCATCCATTTACGGCTCAAAGGTCTATTTGGATTTATTGATTGACAGGCAGGCGAAGGAGCATGAGTTATTTGACGCACAGATCATTAGCAAATTTACAGTCCTCGAAAGAAATAACTTTCTCTTTTCTCCCTCCCAAGAAGGTAGTAGCTGTCCTTTTGACCCTCCTTCCCGTTCTGCTACCCTGAAGCGTTACTATGGAAGATTTGAATGAAATGCTTGCTTGACCTTCTAAAAAATAATGACCGTTCAGCTGCTCTTCTGAATCATACTGGTCACTCAATTATATCTCGGTATTTAGTGAAATTGAAAGGATAGTGTGATCTACCGAAGACAGGATAAACTAGGTGACTGTAAAGACTGAATAGAATGGAGCTAGTAAGGTTATATATAGTGAGCAATATTAACTCTAGAATATCCTAAGCTAGGGGAAATCTGCTGAGTGAAGATATTTGGATTTTCCTATACTAATTCCCTGTATTTATACCATTAAACAGTAAACCACAACCTGTTTTATTCTCTGCTTTCATTTCAATTCAAATTCATGGAAAGGGCATCACGGCCTTCCTTTCATATCCGATAATATGGGGCTGTGCAAACCTGAGCAGCAGAGTCAGCATACGATTACCAGGAGGTTTCCTGGTTTCCAATACTTCAGAGGGCACATGGAACTGTTAACCAGTTTCAGATAATGAACAGATTTATCTAAAGAAGGAAATTTTGCATATGAATATTACTAGAGAGATTGTTATAGTTGAGAGAGCTGCATTACACACAACTACAATGAGAACAAAAATTCATGTCCCTTGAAATAATTCAAATGATGCGTTTTGGAGAACTTCTTAAACCGGAATTCCGGAGGCTTTTAAGCCCCACTCGTTTCCATCACACTTTAATTTTTTTCATGAATTATTGTTAAAAAGAAGAAAGGGATGCTGCGTTTCCATCCAGTAGTTTTTTAAACAACATTATTTCATTTTCATGCAAATAAAATATTTCATTCAGTGTCAATTCGTAGTGTAATTATTGAAGGTATATTCTTAGGCTTGGCTTGAACGCTGAATAAGTGTAGCTCGTTCCTCACCATCACGGCTATAGAGAATTGTATGAACATTTGAACTGTACCCAAATGAATCTTCTCCATCGAAGACGAGCTGTTCTGGTGGTGATGAAATGCCATGTCCGCGGGCTACAATCTGTAATTAGAAACGAAAAACTCTGCTTGATGAAAAAATCCTAGAACTTTCATTTTTCCTTTCCTTAAACATTTAATTAATTGGGGTTTTCGTTTTTCTTTTCTATTCGAATTTGATTAGCATGTTACAAGTTGAGCAAAAAAGAATATCTTGTCAAACTGGATAAACTTTCTTTGTTAGTTGGAGAGTTTGCATCATAGTGGTTCTCAACCTTTTCTTGAGCAGCGACTATTTTGCTTTCTTATGTGTAGCAGGGATTACAAGATTCAAAAATAAGAAACTCCGTTAATTTGAAAGTAAACTTCGGTCAAAACTTTTAAATACCACTTGGACTTAGTTGACATATTAGTTATATTATCATATAAAAAAGAAGGAACATAATTTCTAATAGCCCTCGTAGACCACATTTTACTTTTCGCGGACTATGGCTAGTCCATGAACTACTGGTTGGGACCACTAATATAGCGGGACAAGTTTGATAGGAAATTTTGAAGTAAACCTTAACACTTTTTCCAGGTTTAAGGATGAAATCATGGGGGAACGTATATACGATTTCCTTCTTTCCATCGATTTTTCTTTTCAACTTCCATTCACCAATTGATTCTTCCTTAGCGCGGTGCGTATTTTGAATAATAATAAAGGTACCATCGGCAGATGTTTCCTGTAAATATTCAAAATCGGTCATATTTTTTCTTCTTTTTACCTTTCTTTGCCTTATTTCTATTACTTGACAAATTTTTGAAATACAAAAAGAAAACAATGACAAACCTGAATGGAAACATTTCCTTTGGCAGATCGTTGGAATGATGTGCGGGAGGCAGCTTCACCTTTCATAATTCTCATCGTCTCTGCAAGTTGTATTTTTCACAAAATAATCAATCTTTTCTTCAGAAATCCAAAGAAGATATGATTATTATCAACTAAAACTTTCTGTTGTCAAAAAACAAATCAATCAAAAAGTCCTAATCAAAAAATTTCCTGTACTTTTGTTAATTTATTAGTGTTCATTTTTTTCTTTTCCAGAATCTTTTATTAGGAAGTTTTTCGATGATTTCCTTTATTATTAAAAGGCTTATATTGGCAATCTTACTAACAGACTAACCGGTATCTTCTCGATGAGTTAACTCATGAGTACGCACAACTTGCTCTACTAGTTGACGCAATCCGGCACGATTCTCTTCACCTTCTAGCATCTTCCGGTAAATTGCTATCTCGGCATCTAATGTCTGCAAAAGAATTAAAAAACTACCGAACCTGTTGGTATCTTTAACCTTATTAATGCAAATTATTGTTTGTTGCTTGACACTTTTTTATTTGAGAAAAAAAGTTTGTTTTACAGTACGAATTATTAGATACAGAAATTATGAAAATATTTGCTGCAGTAAAATTTAAAAGAAACTAATAAACATTAGGAAATTCAGTCGATGAAGTTAGCTATTTGTCAAGATTTTTTTGCTGTCAGATAAATGCTGGGATAAATGCTGGCTTATTGACCTGTTTAGTATCAAGGAGCATTTGAAGTTCAACCATCAATGCTTGACATTCTTCGCGCATCTTTCGAATTTGCGCATCACGATCATTCAATGCTGCTTCATATGAACGTTGATCATCTTCTAGCTGGTAATTTAGCTCTTGAATCTGTTTTTCGAGTAAAGAATTCTAAAATTAATCTCGCTAATTATTTCGAGTATATATTGTATACGTCTGCGAATCATCGCTACATTCAGCATTTATTCGTGGCATAATACATAGTAAGACTTGCACTTTTTGTTTTGTTGGATGATGCCAGTTATGATAAATTTTCACATGACAAATACCATAATAATATTGATTAGTCTTTTTTTTCCTTGAATTATGTCATATTCTCTAAGTACTATGTTAATACAGATTTACTAGAAGAGATACTTACTCGTCCTTCTAAATCACTCAATTTACCCCGAAGATCAGCAAGTTGTGTGCGCAGTCTTTTTACTTCTTCCTTGGCGTAACCATGTTCAATGTTTTGTCTTGCCGATTGAGTTTGGATTTCTTGTACTTTCAAACGATACCACGATTCCATATCCGTACGATTGACATTTGTTATCTGAAAATTATTTGTATATATGTTTAAAGCCCCTAAAGCCTAAGCCTAAGGTGATGGATTATGTAATGAGTCAAAATGACAGCGGTTCAAGACATGAATTAAATGAAAGATAATGGTGAAAAACCTGATCATATTCGGCCCGAATGTCACGAATTGCGGACGCTAATTCATTCTTAAAAAATTCTCTATTCTCGGGCGTAGTATCACGAGCGGCAAGACTTTGGAGCTCACGTATCTCCTGCTCATGAACACGTCTGATGAAATCAGTTTCCTCCAATAATGTTTGCACCTGATTTTGATGATCGATACGATTCAGTGTTTCTTGATCAACATCCTTCAAAATTCTATTTCACCGCTCTTGAAATAAGATTATTTCGATCGCTTGCTATAATACGGGCTATCATCTCTTCTTATAACCAAATTCAAGTTCTCGAGTTACTATGATAAGAAGCTTGAATACATCCTATACAACGAGAACACTGTAAATGTCATACCACTTTGTATTTGTTGAGCATTATGTATGCATAATATTTCTAGCTAGAAATTGCTAGAACAAGACAAGAGTGGACCTTAATCTGCTAATAGTGGTCACTACGATTATTTCTATCACTTCCGAAATAATCACCGATTAATTGAAAAAATTAAGCTTTCTGAAATTATATCATGGAATACTATGAAAATGGACATAGGTTGAATAATATCCTCCAATCAATCATGAAAATTTGCAGAAAAAAAAGGAAATTTTGAAAACAAACAGTTCGTGTTCTTTGCAATTCCCCCAATAATCGCTGATTCTCCTTTTTAGTACGCATCACTTCCTCTTCCAGTTCCGTAATGCGACGTCGTAACATGTTAACTTCAGCTTCAATTTGTGAAAGCTGTGAAAACATTTGATCAATTTTCTTGCGATCCGTACGGCATGACCGTAATGCTTCTTCATATCTGCAACATTTTAATGAATTTCCAACGTTCCATTGAATGAATGAATAAATGGAATTAGATTGTACAGTCGTCAAATGAACAATATTCGATATTAAAAGTGAATTATGAATGGTCGAAAGGTCGAAATATCAATTAAGATTTAAAAACGAAAAATTTAAAAAAATATTTAAAAAAGACAGGAAAACGAAAAATTGAATTGTTTTTTATATATTCGTGGCAGTGTACCTTTTTCGATAGTCGGATAATTCATCCTGCATTTTATGAATTTGCTTTTCCAAATCATCGCGCTGTTTTACTGTGTCATTAATCAATTCACGCGCATCCTGAAATTTTACACCATCATGTTTATAATAGATAAATCTTAGAAGTTTGAACGATGAAAAAATAGCTATTCATCTTTCATCTATTACTAATCTTTGTTCTTTATTGTATATTTAAATGATATCAAATTTCAGAATATGAAAATGAAATGGAAAATATTCACCGAAATTTCTCCTTCATACATTTGTTTTATATTGAATGTATCTTTTCCCCATTTTCCACGAAGAAGATCCAAATCTGCCGCTAATTTTCGGTTTTGCGCTTCCAAAAAACGAACCTTCAAATAATAATTCTTTTCTAAATGATTTTTTTATTTTCAAATGTTTTTCATTTAGAATTCCACGTCTCATTTATTATATAATTGGTGGATTTACATTAGGATTGAAAAGCTACTGAATGAAAATGATTATTTTCCCTTATGCTTTTTCATATTTTGCACCCAGGGTATTTTAATTTCAAATTTTACACTTATATTTCAAAGTTAGCGTAATTTTTTCATAGTTCGTTGTATGAGGATAAAGGTTTACTACCAATCTTTTCTTTTTGCTACTAATTATTATCATTTTGTTAAAGTTCCACTTCAAACTGTTTATGTCGTAATCAATTTATGAGCAATTTAATTAATTCAAATGTACTAATGGTGGGATTTGTTGCAGTGCTTTAATTACTTCTATAAACAGCTATAATTATGCATACAATTAGCCTTGTAATATTACAAATACTCATGAAGTCATGAATTATGCATACAATATTATACAAATACTCATGAAGTGATACCGCATTGATAAAGTGTTGACCAAGAATTTTACCCATTGCTAGCTACTCAAAGGTTATTAATTTGTCTGCTTAATTTTAAGACTGTTTACTTCATTATTCTCGAATAACAAAATATTAGGAAAAAGAATTTCTTAAACATATTATTTCTCTTTCTCCATGCAAAAAATAAATTCATAATGCTTTTTGAATGCTTTAATATTCATAATATTATAACTGAAGAGAGAAATTCGTTTTCTCCTTCCTTTCTCATAAATTTGCTACTTTCAATGAAATGCCAATAAATTATTTTAGCTTATCTTTGTCAACTATATCTTATTGTTCTAAGAGTCAGTAGCAGCTTATGCTAAAAAAATTCAGCCTAAAATCACAATTTGCTAATGACACCACCAATTTGCATTATATGTTTAAAACGAAATGTTAAGGTTAAATTTTTGCTATGTAAATTTATTTAAAGCTTAAAAAATTTTTGGTTTTCAGTTGTTACTTACTTGCTTTATTTACTTATGCTACTTACTTTGTTGTTTATTTGTGCTATGAGTTTCGGAATTTCCAAATAGCAAAAAAAAGGAAATCGGCAAATATCATAAAAGGAATAGCCTATCCTTAAACGTTAATACTGCTTAATTTGCCACCAAAAATAGATGGATCTAGACAGATAAGCCAACTCATGAAGTTAGTAAAATAAGAAGTGACATTAATTTACTTTTTATACCAATCTGAATGGAGTATTATCAAAAGAATGAAACAATTAAGTTTTAGATTAAATATTTAATTTAGCTATTATCAACTGAAACTGTTTGGCTATCGTAAAAATGAGGCCAAGAGACTGATCAGTTGATTTGTCGAGAATTATCTGTAAGTCCAACTTCACCAAGCAAATTAATTAAATATAAGATCTTGATATTCGACCGTTTTACAAATTACTTAGCCTACCTTTTCAATGTAAGTAGCTAAACGGTCGTTCAAATCGCTCATCTCTTTCTTTTCACGTTCACGGCTGTCACGTATAGTAGATGCAGCATTCTGACCGAAGGGTGAGACACTTAACATTCCGGTACCACTTGTCAGTGATGTTGTCGATCCAACTTCCGTGACAAACTTTATGGTACGACCATTTTTAACTAAAACAGAAGGACAAATAGCATAGTTGCACATCAAACAATTTTCAGTAGTTCTTTCAGTGGATATTCTATTTTAAAAGCCTAACTTTTCATTAATTAAAGAAAAAACGGCCAGCATTTCTATGTAAAATATCCAATTGATACCACAGCATTAATCTCAGGCTACAATATTATCCAATCTGTATTTTCGTCAAAAAATATTGCTCAGTAATTGCTAGAATGTTAACTAATTAAACAAAGGTACTGCAAACGTCGTAGCTACTTCTGGATAATAATTGAATAATCATTTCTTTGTCTCCTGTCATCTTTTTTCTCTCTCCTACGGGTACAATTAATAAGCACACAAAACTTTCTTCTAAATTCCAAATTTAGATAACGTATGAAGTTTAAAATCACCAGTTGATTCACGTAAGCGCCCACCAAGAGGTTGACGTGACATAGGAGCGGAAACAAATGACATAGTTTTTTATTTCAGCGAATTCAAGGAACAATTGACGTGAAGGATAGAATTTTCAGAACCTGAAACAAATAACGATTTAACCCAAAGATTAAATTGTCATTCATCATTTTGTCTTGCACAAAAATAAGTTGGATGAAATTTTCAGAATTCCAAAACCACTAATTAATAGTTCTGACAATTAACAGTAAGTGGTAACAAAAACAACTTGTAAGTACTGTATCGAAAATTAACAGTTTTGTTCCAGATTATACAAAATTCTGCTAAGGATTAATCTGTTATTCATTAAAATTGTCGTTTGTTAGGTGACAGGAAAAAAAACAAACAAACAGACGTCTTTTTTCCTCTCAAAAGATTGCTGTGTTGACACATCGTACTCTTCAGATATTTTATTTGTCATCTCAGTAAATAGTATCAGCATTTGAAGACATAATTGAAATGCATGTAAACTTGGAAACTAGTAATACGGATAAAAATTCGGATTATAAGACGTTCTAATATTCTGGAAAAGTTTGTGCTATTTAATACCACGAAAAAATTGAAAAAAAAAGTCCATTTTTGAAATAATTTTGAATTTTCATATGGTTCATTTCCTAGATTTATTAAGTTTGATTTCATTAAGCAAAACAAACGGAATACTCGACCGATAATAAATACGAGGAAACGAATATAGTGAGGAAGCACAAGGAATAATTTATACGAAAATTTTTTTTTGTTCTCTTACCTTTGTGGACATTTACTTAACTATCAGGATTCTCTGCTATTATTAGGATTATTGAGAACAACATATGATTCTATCCACTGTAATAAGTATATATTTGAACATGATAATGACAATAACACATTCTAGCATTCTGGAAAAGTTTACGCTGCTCAATTTTACAAATGAAATGAGAAAAAATGTCCAATTCTAAAATAACTTCAAATTTTTATATGTTTCTTTTGACAAGTGGTTTTCAGAGTCAGAATTGTCAACCGTAATTGTATAGAAAAGATAAAAAAAAATTGAAATTCATGCACTTCACTCAATGCCACTTCCTGTTGTCACCAGAGTCCTTTTATCATCATTATTATTAATACAGTTGGAAATATATGCCCAATCAGTGATTCCATTAATCGAGAATTTCAAATGAAATAATTACTAAACTTTTATTGAATTTTTCAAATGGCTGCTGATTTCCTGCTTCTAATAATATGAATAATGAATGAAGTAATTTTTATGTGGAATAGAAGTTTATTAACAAATTACTAAAAAAAATAAAAATAATTCTTTATATTATTAGAAGCAAAGCAATTCTTCGAATTGAGCAGTTTTTATAAAGATAAAAAATAATTTTAGAAATAGATCATAAATAAAAATGGCGATTTTAAAAATCGCTCGTTTGTTTCTACAAATTACTTATCTATAAAATGAAAATAATAAAAATATCAAGTTCGCTTTTCTCCTACTATTCCTATTACTTTTCCATTCTTTTTCATCTCCGCGAAACAGTTGCAATTATAACGATAATAACGATAATTAATAATAATAATAATAATAATAATAATAATAATAATAATAATAATAATAATAATAATAATAATAATAATAATAATAATA